TGCCCTGCGGCAATCTGCTAATCTGAGGAGCCATATGGGCAGTTGCAGTACTTCATGAATTTTTGCATCTTTCGCAGGGAAAGCTGCACTATGGATTTTAAATTGGTTCCTGACCATTTCTTTTTCCAGTAGTGCGTGTGCTTTACTGTGATTTTAGTGGAGAGCTAACTGCTGAACAGCGATGATTTGTCACGAACTGATTGCTTGTTTGTACTTTGGTTTCAAAATTTGACATATTAGCTACATTATCAAGGATTTGGTTTTAAAAATTGGATGAACATTTTTAAAAGAAAAGCAGAAATTCATTACGTCATTCCGTTTGAGGTACTTACAAATTCCTTGTGTTTGTTGTAGAGACTAATTTTGCGTAGGGCAACATCGTATTAGTGATGCTTGTAAGCTGTTTAATTGAACACTGGTACTTCTCTGCAATCTGGTTGAGGGAAGAAATCCGTATTTCTGAAACAGATTTTACAGTTTCAATATCTAAATGTAATTTTTTTGAGGAGCATTCCTCATTGACGTCTCTAAATGTAATTTATTGTTGAGCTTTTCTTCTTTTGCCTTATTAACTTGGTTGGCTCCAGAAATAACTTGGTGTAGTGGTTGGTAAGAGTCATGCTTAAGTTTCCTTCTCTGTGATTAAATATCTTGTACCATGACACGATGTCCTCTTCCCCTGAAGGTATCTAAGTTTGTGAAATAGCATTGTACAGGGGTACCATGACCCTGACCTGGGCCAATTGATTTCCTTCCTTTCATCACTTTATAGAAAAAATGTTTATCATCTCTGTCTATATGTTTGAAGGAATGTGATTTAGATGCAACATCTCTTTTTTTGCAGAGTGAAAGCTCAGGTGTGTGGATTAATGCGCACAATCGAGATTTATCTAGCTTGCAAGCAAGTTCCTTTTATAATCATCCTCAGGGTCAAGTGGCTCTAACACCCAATCAACCTGGACACGGAAACTTTGCTGGTGTTTATCACCCAGCACAACCAGTTACAGCATCAACTGTTCACCCACTTATGCAGCAGTCTCAAACTATGGCCGGTCCAGTTGATATGGTAGGACCAACAGCCAATGTCTATCAGCGGCCTCAGCATTCACAGATTAACTGGCCAAGTAGCTACTGATGAGTTGTTCCTTTCTTTTGCAAACCATAAAAACAAGGAATGAAAATCGTCATTGGAGTTTTTAGAGATGCAACATGTTTTGGAGGAATGGTTCCACCAAATGTTGGAAAGAAGTGTGCAGGCTGACTGTAAATTTTTAGAAGGGTGCCAATCAAAGAACTTCACCAAGGTATCTCTTCTTGCTTGGAACTGAGGATTTAAATGGTGAATCCTCCTGTAACTGATAGCGACAGATTTTTGGTTGAGGCAGATATATGCGAAATGGTTTCTGTTAAAACTTGATAGCCTTCAATAGTTTTTCAGCATTATTAGCATAACCGTGAGAGTTAAAACTTTTTCTTCCCTATATATTTCTTCTTTTTGTAGGATTTTAGGACTGTTGAAAGCAATGAGGTTTCTAGGGGTTTTTCTTTTTCATACATCTTGCTTTCGCGCTTATCTTTGTACCTGTAAAGTTGATTTTAACTTTATGGGACTGTTGTAATTGGTGGTTGGTGCAAAGCGAATTGCGGCATTATTGGTGGTATATTGTGGGAGCAAATTGATACAACTTGAAAATCTCTTGTTGTGGTGTTGAAATTTTGAGAATATTGGTGGTCATGCTTGCAATTCACAGCAAGAATTCTCTAATCTTGAAATTTCTCATCTCTTTCCATTTCTTGGGACTCTGGGGATGCTCTAGATATTGCAGTGCTAAATTTTCCAGAAGGGATTGGAGAAAAATCTGATATGCTTCTTCTTTGCTGTGTTTTTTTTGTGTTGGTTTTATTTTTAGTTACAGGTTTGATTACCATGTAAATGAGCTGCAGTAAGTTATTGAAAATGATGAAAGATTAGATTTGAAGAAGAGATGCCAGATTAAATGACATCCACAAAGCATGAGCTTGTCCTAATTCTGGTCAGGGAAAAATTAAACTGTTTCGGTCTGTTTGGTTGGAAAACAAGTTATCCGGGATTACGTTAAACCCTACCCCCCCCCCCCCCCCCCTAAAAAAAAAAAAAAGGATAAAAAACACTACAATCCCGGGATAATTAATCTCGAGATTAGTTATACTCCCTTCGGTTCACAATAAGTGTTCAATTTACTTTTTCATTTTGGTTCAAAATAAGTGTCCAGTTATATAATCAAGAAAGAATTCAATTTGTTTTTACAAAATAACCCCCATGTACATATTCCTAAAAAGTTTTCTTATTCCTCACATTAAATATTTAATTAGGGGTAGTTTAGTCATAGTAGGTATTTTTGTATAGAATTTAGTATTTACTTAATGGACGTGCTACAAGTAAATTGGACACTTATTGTGAACCGGAGGGAGTATCACGATTTTATGTTAACCAAATATGGGATAAATTCATCTCAAATTTAATTCTGGGATAAATTATCCCTTATCTTGTACCAAACGAGTCCATTGGGTGCAAAGTATTTGCAATGAAAGTTGACATACTTGACATCCAAACAATTGCAAGGCAACAAAGTATGGAATTCAAGGAGCCAAATTCTAGGACTAATGTTAAGAATATGAGTGCACTCCAAATTGCAGGACTCGTCCTAAGAATAGTGCATTCATAATTACATTCACCTACATTTTGTAGGAGAATCTCAAAATACAAACATATCTTCCAAACTACTTGTGTCCATTGGACATAGGAAATTCAAAAGTACAAGCACCAATCTATTAGTTGTTAAGTTTTCTAAAAATAAATTTTTATTTTTATTTGTCACTTTTCGCATATCAAGAGAAAAATCATTTTTTTTCCGTTTTGCCCTTATCATTAATTACTCATTCCAAATTATTTTCCAAATCCATTAAGACTATACACCAATTAATATGGGTATCATGTAAATTATGCATTTTATATATTGTAAAATTCAAAGCGGACAAGTAAAAGTGAACGGAGGAAGTACCATATTACGATTATTTACTATGGTTAATTGTTGACTGGCGCGCGCACACACCAGAGAAAAAAAAAACAAGTGCAAATTTCTGTGAAGTCAAATTTCTTTTTTACACTTTTTCCTTTGTGGGAGAGAGTGGAGGGGTTTTTTCGAGTTAAAAACTGGTTCTCAATTCTTTGAAACTGACCAAATTAATATATAAACTATGTACGATTGGTAGGTAACCAAACCATTTACCAACATATTTAGTTGTCCAAAGTCGCATATTTGTACCAAATATCATAAACGGCAACTCGGTGCACTAAACTTCCGCTATGCACGAGGTCCGGGAAAAGGTCAGATCACAGAGTCTATTGTATGTAGCTTACCCTGTATTTCTGCAAGAGCTTGTTTCCACGGCCTGAACCAAATATCATAATTCCCTTTATTCTATGGGGTTAAATTCGCATATGATTATTGAACTTTTTTCATTATAATTTTGACAAACAACTTTAATTAATTTAATCTAATATATGTGGCTGAAAATTATCCGTCGAAAATTTAACTCATTAAAGTGACTGTTAAGGTTGAAATATTAATATAAGGAGTCTACAATGAAATCCAACCACATACTTGCTAGGACTTTGGTTTGCAGACTACTTTTCTTGTCATTTTATGTACTCTCCCTAATAATTTCATCCCAATCAAGTAATTGAAAAAGACATTTTCTCGTTCTATTGTCTCAATCAAGAATACATCCATCACAAAGGAAGTAAATTAAGAATAATTTATTTCCTAATAATGATCGACACATTAATGTGTTCCTTTTGGCCACCAATGGCGAAGCCACATGGTGATAAGGGTGGTCAGTTCGCTACATGGTGATAGGGGTGGTCAACTGATCACCCTTCGTTGAAAAATTGCAGTGTATACATAGGTAAAATATTACGTTTTAGAGGTATATAACACATTGAATACCTTTTATCGGAAATTTTTTCCACTTCTTTTAAATTGAACACCCTTGAGTAAATTTCTAGCTTCTCCACGTGCTGTTTGTATACTTGAAGCAACTTTCCTCTAATTTCTTTCGTCCAAATGTTCCAAATGTATTAACTTCATTTTACACGTCTCCCTATCAATCAATTAATAATTCATACTAATCAATCACACCACACGCCCCTAAATTAGACTCTTGTTAAAAAATAAATTATAATAGTTGATTAATGTTTTTGAATTTGCTAGGTGGAAATTAGGATAGTTATTTAATTCAGAATAGGGCCACTTCAAGGAGATGACGTGAGCTATAACACACGAAAATCTGGGAATAATGCGAAATTTCATGATCCTAAAACGCCAAGAATGAGGAACGATCATAGCAAAACGATGACTATTGTTCCCTATGCCTTTTTTGATGAGTCGGCAAAATTGTAAGCGATTCGGAGCCGGTCGCCCGAATTCATAAAAATGGCGTGGACAACTTGAGTTTTCATCATTGAATTTAACTGTATTCACTATTAATGTAATGACATATTCATACTATTAGTACAATTTAACGAGTTATAGAATAACATTAATCTTAATTTTTAGGTTATTAATTCCACACTTCCACTTATTATGTATAATTAACCTATAGTTATATTTTAAATAATTAATTTTTATACCACCAAAGTTAAACTCTTTATAAATTTATTATTTTTTCATAGATGAATCATTTTCATGTCAAGAGGATATTGTATATTAATATATGCATTATTGAGCTAAATTTGATGACAATATCGTGGTTATCTGAAATTGGACTACGTGAATTACATGATCTCAATCTATACAAACCCTATATATAATGCATAGAACGCTAAGATTATCCTAAATCTAAAAACATTTTATTTATTTAAACTTGCCTGCTACCAAGCAAAATTTGGGTTAGATGGGGCGTTACTTCCTAAGTAAAGGGTAGTATTCTATATTTGTTTAAACTTTAGGGGGGTGAATGTAAATTACTATAGAATACGTAAGAGACTATGCAAACTCCAAAAAGAGCAAAGTATGAAAATGACAATACAAAGAGCCTTTTTTCCTGGAGTCACGGTACGTACAACCTCCAAAAGCAAAAGTACAACAGTTGAATCCTGAAAGATCTTCACCTGTAAGAAAATCAACAAAATCACATCATCTGTTTGTAAAATTCTGAACATACCCTTTAAAAGAGAGCTCAAAAGGGTATCTGAAAATGGTAAGAGAGGAGCCATTAATGGAAGAAAAATGCAATCTTGAAAATGAAGAAGAAGAGATAAAAAAGAACAAAAAAAGCAAGAATATAATAGAAGAAATTGCAGAGAAATTGAGGGGTGAAGTGGAAGAAAAGGAAAAGATTGAGGCAGCTAAGGAAATTAGGAAACTAGTGAGGAGGTCATCGTCTTCCGGCAAGACTCGTTCCCGGTTTGCTGCCGCCGGCGTTATTCCGCCGTTGGTTGATATGCTTCAGCTTTCTTCTTCTTCTCTTCTAGCTCGTGAAGCTGCTTTATTAGCCCTCCTCAATCTTGCCTCCCGTAATGAACGGTTCGTATTGTTAAATCTTCCACTTTTAGCTTCTTTTTTTTTAACCTCTGTTGAGAAATAATTACATGTGTGTGGATATTTGTTATGTGAATTGAAGTTTGTTCAAGATTTTATGAGTTAGTTTGAGAACAGTAATTTCTTGTGATGATTTAGATAGGGAAGATTGTACTTTCCCCGGTAAAATTGAAAATTTTGGATGTTGAGTCTGGAAACATTTGTTACTGTAGAAATGAGAAGGAAAAGGTGCTATTGGCAGTTTGGCTGCCCTCAAATTTGATTTAACAAGAAGCTAAAGGATGAAAGTGGTGGCTTTAATGGCAAGAGCGCAACCTTTGATGTGTGAGTTAGGCGCACGTTATTGGTTCGAACTTTGTTGCAGACAAAAAGCCTTATATTTAAGTGGAGAAGGGTAGAGGGGCGGACCCCTTATCCACTGAATTTCGTATCATGCTCCATTGGCCTCGAGGATTTCTCGGTTATTAAAAATGGAAAGTAAAGTCATATAAATTCCACTTTGACAAACTAACATTGTAATTGTAGGAAGCATGATTAAACATTTGGTGTGATGTGTTGGAAATTTTATACAAGAAGCCGAACAAGTATAGCGACCAGCCATAGAGGTACCTGGTGCATGTACTGGGGGAGGTAGCAGGTACTCGGTGGATTTAGTCGAGGCGCGCGCACCGGGTACCACTGTTATTAAAAGAAAAATAGCAACCAGCCATAGAGGTCGCCAGTAGATATCAGCCCTAAAAAGAAAGAGCTACTCGAAACCATGAACGTTGCTATATTAATTGTCAGAGAACCACCGAGTTTTTTGCTGAAAATTTATGTTATGTATGACTTTTTCTTTGTTATGAGTTATTGTTACCTAGATGTCATGATAACATCATCAATTTAGACTCCTTGCAAAATAGGGAAAAAGAGTTAGCGTAGACTGAGATGGAGGCGTGGAGTTCTTTGTATATGAACTGGGCTGCCATGCGACTCTAATACTCATATGAATAAAGATGATATGGGAAAGACTACCGACTGTTGAGCCAAAAAGGATGTTCCATTTCCCTCAAAATGAGATACACATTAACCATTGGCTAATTGAGGTTTTATCTTTAGAAGCATTTTAGTGTTGCATCTTCTCATGTTTTAAAAGGTGTAATTGGAGTGTGGCCCAAATGAATCTTTGCTTTTGTCTCCAATTTCTGCTGGACGGCCACCAGCTGCGTAAAACCTATCTAATGATTGAATAGTCTTTTATCTTTCTTTTTCTGGGTGAGGCAGCAGAAAGGATTTTGGAGTAGGAGAGTATTCAAAGCTAAACTTGTGCTCATCAATCAATGCCGCTTTTGCGGTCAAAAGAAAAAGTTTTCCATTTAATGTGCAATGACTACAATTTCATGGGATTCATAAACTGTGTTCTGGTTAAAATTTTGGAAGGTAGAATACGATCAGGATCTTTTAGCTGATTGCTATGGTAGTAAGCTTCTGCAACTTTTTGTATCTCACTGAAAACTATCATCCTTTTTTGTAATATCTTACTTTTGGTCAAGGCAGAAGACATCTTCTTCCCCCTTTTCTTTTGTGGTTTTACGGAAAGAAGAAAAATGAATGTGTTTCATGATGCTAATGTCAACGATACCCTCTTTAGGTAAAGCATATGAAGAGAATCTCCAACTTCTCTCTCCCTTCCTAACCTTTCTGTAGGTTTGTTTAACAGCTCCCTCGTTATCCTTGGATATATATCATCATTGTTCGTTTTGCTTTTCCCCTGTTTGTATTACTCACTTGATTCAAGGATAATCAACTTATCTCCTTATATTCCTTTCCAAATTTACCAGAAACAAAATACGGATAGTTACATGTGGTGCCATCCCGCCTCTTGTGGAGCTCCTCAAGTTCCAAAATGGCAATTTGAAAGAGCTAGCAACTGCTGCTATTTTGACACTATCAGCTGCTGCAACCAACAAACCGACAATAGCTGCATCTGGAGTTGGACCTCTTCTTGTGCAGATCCTGAGTTCAGGAACTGTTCAAGGAAGAGTTGACGCCGTAACAGCCCTCCACAATCTCTCCACAACCAAAGAAGATCCCAAGTTGGTTCTTGATGCTAGAGCAGTTTTTCCGCTAATGAATCTCCTCAAAGACTGCAAGAAGTATTCCAAGTTTGCCGAGAAAACCACAGCCCTATTGGAAATCCTCTCTAATTCTGAGGAAGGAAGAGATGCAATCACAAATGCACATAATGGAATACTGACTCTAGTTGAGACTGTTGAAGATGGGTCACTCGTCAGCACAGAACATGCAGTTGGGGCTTTGCTGTCATTATGTCAAAGCAGCCGAGACAAATACAGGGAGCTGATCCTCAAAGAAGGCGCTATTCCAGGCCTTTTACGGCTAACTGCAGAGGGCACACCTCAAGCTCAGGAAAGAGCGAGAACACTTTTGGACTTGCTTCGGGACTCTCCTCCTGAAAACAAGTTCTCGTCCTCCATGTTGGAGAGAATCGTATACGACTTTGCAGCACAAGTTAATGGAAATGATAAAGCCGCTGAAACAGCCAAGAGATTGTTACAAGACATGGTTCATAGAAGTATGGAGCTGAGCATGAGTCGTTTACAGTTAAGAGCTTCATCTTGTACCCCTTCAAAGGTGCAGTCTGTATGACGACGACGACAACAACAACAAAAAATCCAGTGTAATCCCACAGGTGGGGTCTGGAGAAGGTAGTGTGTACGCAGACGTTATCCCTACCTTGTGAAGGTAGAGAGGTGGTTTCTGATAGACCCTCAAAGATGCCGTCTGTATGAATACTTAGATTGTTTCAAGCTTACCATAAACCTGTATAGAGATTAGGAAAAGCAGTTATGTAAATGGACTATATTTAGCTATTCTTCCTCTGCCTGTTTTTATGTGCAAAGATGTGGAGTTGCATAGACCATATAGCTAGCTAGTAGATAGTACATGCTGTTGGTAACACTCATTTTATTAACCTTAATGAGCATTGTACATCTCTTAACTTAATCACTCATTTGTAAAGTTTGCACCTAGTTGTACATTACTGCCTCTTTTTTTTTTTTTTTTTTACTTCGCCACTGATGCTTGGGTTAGGGTAGACTGCCTGCATCACATCCTCTTAGGGCGCGGTTCTCACCGAACCCTGCTGAACACGGGTTGCTTCGTGCACCGAGCTGTCCCTTTTTTTATTTTACAACTTCATGCGTTTGACATTAGATAAAGTACTTTTTAATAAAGAATTTTTTAAAGATCAATAATTGTCTGAATCTATTTTAAGACAAATAGGAATAAACAAAAATGAAAAGAAGCCAAACAAAAGAATACATATACATAGTCGACATATGCAAAAGACCTAGAAGAAACTACAAAAATAGGTTATTTCCTTTTCAAGAACCATTTATAACCAATCATCACGTGACTAGCATTATCATTTTTCTAATGTTTGTGTATAAAAGGTGGAATTAATCCTTCTGTTAATTTCTCTTAGTTCCTCATTCGTAACGAACATAGAGGTAGAAATTCAGTCACACCGTTATATTTGTTTCGTTGTCACGTCAATTGCATTTAAACTTAACACATTGACTTATATAAACATGAAATTGATCAATAAACATAATTTTGAAAACATAAAGTGTTCAATAAATTGGAGCATAAGTTGTCTATAAATGAAATATGGTGCCCAATTTGAAAAGGTCACCGATGTATTTGACCTTAAAAGAAAGAAAGAACTTTGAACAAAAAAAACCCAATATAATTAAAAAGAGAACCAAACGGTCCCGAGACGAGAGCAATATTTAGTAAAAATAGCACGGGCTATCCAGTTTTCGGACTGGTCATTCAAAATATTGCTCTCGTCTCGGGACCGTTTGGTTCTCTTTTTACGGGCTAGCCAGTTTTCGGACTGGTCATTCAAAAATAGCAAGCGTTTGCAAAGTCATTGAAAAATAGCCACTATTTTGCTGTAACACGGAAAGTTCCAGCATAATATACTGGAGATTGGTGCACCTGTGTATGAACTTCCAGCCTATTATACTGGAACTCCAACACGCGGAAAGTTCCAGTATAATATATTGGACTTCCAGTATATTATACTGGAATTCCAGTATATTATACCGGAGTATTTTTCCGGATTTTGAACAGTATTTTTGTTCAGATTTATCTTTACATGAAAAGTGACTAAATTTCGATTACTTTTGAAACTGTGGCTAATTTTGAATTACCACTTGTAAATCTGGCTATTTTTGAATTTCTCCCCAATATTTACAAAACTATTTCAAGGCAGAGGACAAATTGATTAATTAGGAAAAGGCTCGGGGGTCACACTACAAATTTCGAAACACGCATTACGCTAATTTGTGCCATGATTTAGGGCTCTCATTCTATTCGCTAATCACATCTCGACCATCGATGTTTTTGTCCGGGGCAAATGACAAAAATAGTCCCTTGGGTTTGAGGTGAACTCAATGTAGTCACTTAAAATCTTTTGAGCAGTTTTAATCCTTTAAATTTGTCAAAAATAGGAAATTTTGGCATTCATCAAATATTTAACAAACTTTGTTTGTTAATTGAAATTGCGAGAAAAAGAATTAATCGCAAGCTCAAAAAAGTCCCGTCAAATTCTAAAAATTATAACATAAAAAACTACTGCAGACATATAAATAAATTAAAAGAAGTAGACACAAAATAGACCAAATTACACCTACAAATGTGATTTTTATTTAAATATTTTCCTTTCCCATAATTCTCATTAAATCTAACATGTAAAGTTTGTTAAATATTTGAAAGCGACCAAAAATGCTCATTTTTGACAAATTTTAAGGACCATAACTACTTGAAAGATATTTAAGAGACTACTTTAAACTTATCCTAAGTATAAGGGACCAGTTTTATCATTTTCTCTTTTTGTCGTTGTACACAATATTTATCCCCATTAAAATATTTATATTTAATGAAGCGGCCAAATTTCCGGGGCGCATTTAATTTAACATCATAATAAGTTAATTACACTACAATATCCGACCGTCCACGTCATAAATGGACCAACACATTTTAAAAATCTAAGATCTTGACTCTAAAATTAAGAAAAATAAAGCAGCTTTACTCCATTGATTACTCTTTAGAAAAAGAGAATAAAACAGAAGTTCTGAAATCTATGCTGAGCTTCAACTGATCAGTGACAATCTCCAAGCTGTATGAGGTAAACCAATGATAGTATTATTTGTCATATTTTCTGCTTTAACATAGTCAATTCTTGCTTATACTTACTCAGATCTATGAATTTTTGATTTTACTTTGTCAAATTTCATGTTTTTTAGATACCCTTTAGTTATTTGTTTAAATGGTAGTTTAATATATTGCCCCATTGTGATTTACAGATTTCATTCTTGTTGTGTTTGAGGCTTTAAGTGTTATAGTGAGCTTATAAAAGTGTGAAAAAATGATGAGTCGGTCGTCAAATTTGCTGTCAAGGAGTGGAAGTTTCAGGCCAGAAAATTTGGGGCAAAATGCAATGGCAATGATAGGGAATCTTTGTTTTACTATATTTGTAGTTGGGGTTTTGATTTTCACTATAATTGCTGCAACTTATGAGCCTGAAGACCCTTTATTCCATCCTTCAACAAAGATGACTAATTTCCTTACTTCCAAATCCAATGCTACATTTAAAGCTGATGATACTGTTGTGAGGACTGGTGAGGACTTTCTTGGTCCTAATCAGACTGCGTTTTCGACTTTTATAAACCTCACTGATGTTGATGTTCCGATGGGTATTGGTTTAACTGAAAGTGTAACTGAGGATAATTTGGATTGTCGTGGCAAGACTGATGATCCCATTGATTGTACTGACCCGGATGTGTTTCATTTGTTGATGAGGGCTGCCATTGAGAAGTTTAAGGACATACATTTTTTCCGGTTTGGGAAGCCAGTTCGGGGGTCGAATGATAGTTCGTGCCACATGGCGTGGCGGTTTAGGCCTAAGGAAGGGAAGACTGCTTCCCTTTATAAGGATTACCGGTCTTTTGTGGTTTCTAGATCGGAGAACTGCACGCTTGATGTGGTTAGTATAGGTGATTATCATTCCGGTGGAAATGCTCGTAAGAGGAAGAGAAAGAACAAGGGAGGGTCGGACAGAACTACTGCTAAGCTAGATGAAGGATTTGAGAAGGCACCTCAGAAGATAGAGGGACAAGATATCGCTTTGCCTGTAGTTGGGGAAGCTGTAAATGACTCACTTCCTGTGGTGGAGTCGGAGAGTTCATTCGGTAGTGGTAAGTATTTGATTTATTCTGGAGGTGGAGATAGGTGCAAGAGCATGAACCATTACCTTTGGAGTTTCATGTGTGCGTTGGGTGAGGCTCAATATTTGAACAGGACGTTGATAATGGACTTAACTATTTGTTTAAACAAGATTTACACTTCATCTGGTGTGGATGAGGAAGGAAAGGATTTCAGGTTTTACTTCGATTTTGAGCACTTAAAGGATTCAGCGTCCGTCCTTGATCAGGTTCAGTTTTTGTCAGATTGGAATAAATGGCATAAAAAGGACAGATTAGGTCTCCATCTTGTGGAGGATTTTAGGATTACGCCGATGAAGTTATCTGAAGTGAAGGATACCTTAATTATGAGGAAATTTGGTTCCGTAGAGCCAGATAATTACTGGTACAGGGTATGTGAGGGTGAAACAGAATCTATCGTTCAACGACCATGGCATCTGGTATGGAAATCAAGACGGTTGATGGACATTGTTTCAGCTGTTGCGTCGAGGTTGAATTGGGATTATGACTCAGTTCATGTTGTAAGGGGGGAGAAGGCAAGGAATCGTGAAATGTGGCCACATTTGGCAGAAGATACTTCTCCCGAGTCTTTACTATCTACCTTGCAGGACAAGATCGATGACGGAAGGAACCTGTATATTGCAACGGATGAACCAGATACATCCTTTTTTGACCCCTTAAAAGACAAGTACTCAACACATTTCCTTGATGAATATAAAGATCTTTGGGATGAAAACAGCGAGTGGTATGCAGAGACAGCAAAACTTAATAACGGGAACCCAGTTGAATTTGACGGCTACATGAGGGTTTCAGTTGATACCGAAGTTTCCTTCAGAGGTAAAAAGCAGATTGAGACATTTAATGATCTCACCAAAGACTGCAAGGATGGAATCAATACGTGCACTTCGTCCAGCTAATTTCTGACTAGCGTTTGAAGCTTTACTCCTGCACTGTTTGGGTAAATCTATATCCCATTTTGTTGTTTTAGGTAAATTTTGGTCTTAATTTGTAGAATGCATTCGTACGTATCTATTCTGAAAAGCAATAATAGATTACTTCTTTAGTTGGTACCTCTTTATAGTGTAGTTGCATTGTACTCAACTCAGTGTCTGCTATAAGCTTGTATCCCTTCATTTGGTAAGTTAATAAGAATGTTATTTGTCTTCCTGACTTAAATTGCAGTTACTTTAGTCCTCAAGTTGTTGTTTGATCTCATTTCCGAGGGTCTATCGGAAACAACCTCTCTACTCCATCGGGGTAGGGTTAAGGTCTGCGTACACACTACCCTCCCCAGGCCCCTCAACTATGGGATTTTACTGGGTTGTTGTTGTTGCTGTTGTTGCTAATCAAAATGCTTCTGTTGGCGATTCTGAACTATTGCAATCTTAGTGTGCATTCTAGTATTTTTTTTGTATCACCTACGAGTAGACTAAAATGCTCAACGTATATGGAATAACTCGATACATCCTTGATTAAATGCTGCTACTAGTTGACTTGTTCAAGATAGTTCATGGAATTCATGCTTTTCTAGTGTTATCGAAAATAAGTTGATTGATAACTCAGTCGCGTATTCTCATTTCCTAAGGTATTAGATTGTATTGTAAACTAGTAGCCATCTGTCTTATCCTGTCTAAACCCCGCCATTTATGTTGCTTAAAGGTATGATCGGAGGTCCAATTACTAACGTGCTACGACTGTTCTGATGGTGTATATAGTGAAGTTATAATGCTGAAC